TGAAAGAGGCTAAACTGGGACAAAAAGCCTACTACAGAGAGTCTGCAAAGTGGACAGGCACACACAAGTTCAGTAAATAATTTTAAAAACGAACATTAGAAGTTTCTCAGCCATGGCTACCATTGCTGCTCCCTCTTGATGGCTTGATGCTAAATGCTACAGTGTCACATAAAGGTGAACGGATGCAGAAAAGTATGAATGGTAATGTAAAGGACCAGGACTGTCTAGACTAGGTAGCGATCAGGATGAAAAAGGAGATGAGCTAAGGTTTAAGGGGGATGTCAGTCTTGCAGGTCAGGAACAAGTAACGGCTCATGGTTGCATGCAGTCCAGGCAAAAGAGTAAGAAATACACAGTTATCTGTGGTTAGGAACAGGTAAGAGGTTGAGTGCAGGTGGTCAAGACAAACAGGTAAGGACCCGTTATGAGTTGTCACAAACAGGAAAGAAGCCAAGAAATCTAGAGCATTCAGTGAGTCAAATTGCAACACCAGCCATCAGTAATGTGAACTTAATTCTGGGGCCCCCTCCTAGGCATCCCAACAGGAATGTGTTGTAGGGGGTGGGAGGCTGTAGGAGTGAGGAGAGAAGGAATTGTAAAAGCTGCATGGCTGCTGGGATGAGACAGGGATGAAGGGAAGGAGCTGGCACACAGCGGCATAGGGGACTTGGATTGGTGGGGAGAGGGAAGGGTGATGCTCTTATGTTCTCCTGCCAACATGCATCAGTTGTATGCCATTCCCTTGGTGTGGCTTCTTCCTGACCACTTAGCTTGACCCACTACCCTGATTTCCCAGCTGTGACCAGTGACTTCATGATTGGTTGGGGTCCAGTACCTCTGAACTATACCTTTTTTCTTCCCACTCTTCTGCTATGAATTATAGTATGAACACACTAGTCACACTACCTAGCTTGCAGGACTTTGTATGGGGATAACCCAATACCCTAAGAGTCTCTTAATGAGTTCTCAAGGCATATTTCTGGGCAATATAAGGGAAAACTTAAGAATGAGAGTTGTCCCAAGGTGGAATATACTGACTGAGATGATAGTAATAATATTTATTATAATAATAATTAAAAAATAACAATAATAGGGATAAGGATAGGACCTCTGATTCCACTGATACAGAGAATTCCTGGATGAGGAAACTTTCTTTACCAGGGTAGGGCAACATCTTCTCTGTAACTTAAAATCTTAGAGAATCTCCTAGAAGTTATGTGACTTATCCAGGGTCACAAAACCAATAAATGTCCAAGATAGGGCTTGACCCCAAGTTTTCCTGACTTTGGGGATAGCTCTCTCTACCACACCATAGTTACTTCAACATCTTCAACATCATCATCATCACCATCATAAGCAGCAGCAGCTTGCATAAGTCACTTTAAATATGCAAAGCTCTCTAGAAAGTACTTTTTTATCTATCTGTCTATCTACCTACCTATCTACCTAACCATCTGTCTATCTGTAGCTAGCTGGCACAGTGGATAAAGCACTGGGCCTAGAGTCAGGAAGACCTGAGTCCAAATCGGACCTCAGATACTTATTAGCTGTGTGACCTTGGGCAAGTCGCTTAACTCTGTTTGCCTCAGTTTCCTCATCTGTAAAATGTGCCAGAAAAACAAAAGGCAAACCACTCTAGTATCTTCGCCAAGAAAACCTCAAATGGGGTTATAAAGTGTTGGACATGACTGAAATGACTGAACAATGACATATTTATATATACACACACACGTACACACATGTACACACATGTATATATGTATATAGTATATACACATATGTATATGTGTATGTGTATATATACACACATATATATGATCCTCACAACAACCCTATGAAATACCAGCTATTCTCAGTTCTCCATTTAAAGATGTGTGTGGCTCAGAGAGGTATATTTAACTTACCCAGGGTCACACAGCTAGCATCAGTGGTAGGATTAGAACCTAGATTTTCCTGGCTATAAATGCAACACTCTACCCACTTCAGCAGGCTTCCTTTCACTAAATGTCTTCTAGTAGTCTGAAGGCCACCAATGGGGATGTTTCAAAGGGGATTGTTGGTTAGGTAGAGGGGGAGCCTAGATAGCCTTTGACGTTCCTTCCCATTTCATGGTCTGTGATTATATTTCCAGGTAAGTGGCCTAAGTTGTATTGGTACCATCTGCCATGACTATCCTCCAGGCCTTAGCCTGGTTTCTTAGGCTCTGGGTACGCAGACCATGCTTGTATTGATGGAGAGATGGTGGTGTAGTGGAAAGAACAATGGATTTGGAGTCAGGCATGGATTCTAACTCTGGCTCTGTTGCATGACCCCAACCAAGTCATTTAACCTCTCTTTGACTTAGTTTTCTCTTCCGTAAAATAGGGATAATAATAATTGCACTATATACCTTAACAGAATTTTTTTTGTGAGGCTAAAATGAGATAAAATAGGGAAAGCACTTTATAAATTGCCATTTTAATGTCAGCTATTATTATCACAGCTGGTTTTTGTAATGGCTATAAATGTACATATACATTTTAATAATGTATCTATCTATAGTTAATTTTTATTTATAAAATGCAGCCAAAGTCTAGTTTTTAACTATTTCCTCTTATAGTCCATGACTTGACAACCCAGGCGTGCAAAAGAAAATATTGATGCAGGGGCTGGCTGGCCATTTATTAGGGGGCTGTCAAGGGCATTTCTGTGTGAGATGACCTGTGAAGTCCTTTTCCATCTTGAGATTACATAATTCCATTAAACAGAAGCCTAATACTTAAAAAAAAAAAATAAAGCCCAGTAGGTTGTTTCTTGATAAGCCTTTCAACTCCCAGCCTGGTCTGGATGAGGTGAGCAGTGCCAAGTGCTAGGAGTAGGACCTTGTGCTAGTCCCTCCATTTCACTGCACTCAGTGTCCCCATCTATAAAATGGGGCAGGGGGTGGGTGGGGGGAGGGTCTCTGCTCCAACTTAGACATTTTGTGAGTGGGAAGAAGAAAGTTCAGAATTCTCCTTCTAAGTTCTCTCAAAATTTGGGAAAATTAAAAAGAATGAAAAAAAAAAGGCAAGAGGCCCCACCAAAAGATTTCAGCTTTTTAAACGTCATTCATCTCCAGGTGCAGGCAGTTTGGAGGGAAAGGAAGTCTCCCAAGGCAACACAAACAGGGCTCGGGGCTCTGGCCCTTCCTGCCTCCATGTGGCCTGAGTTAGGGAGCTGCCTGCTGTGGCCAGCTGCCAGCACAGCTGTTCCTGTCACTAGAAAGAGGAAGGCCCAGAGCAGGGCAGCAACGTGAAAATCCCAGGAAGCCAGGGAGCCGGAGAGCCAGGCGTGGGAAGGAAACACTGAGCTGTCTGAAGCTACTAACTGACTAGGGCAGGAAGGCAGGTCCTATTTCTGAAATCACCCACCCAGGGGCCCACAGTAAACAAGTAACCTGTCCTCTCCATTTGGTGTAGCAGGTTTCCATGTTCTCATCATGTTCTCCCAACTTCAAAACATTAGGTGGTTCTCTCCTTCCTTCTCCATGAAATCACAGCTCCTCAGCTTGGCCTTCAAGGCTTCTCATGGCTTTGACCCCATCCTCCTGGTGCAACCTTATCTTACTATTCATTAATACGAACCTTACTTTTTAGTCAGGTTAATTTCTTCACTGTCCCAAGTCTTTAACTAAACTGGGGGTGTTGAGGACACTTTGCTCAGTTGGGGGATACTGAAGTCTAAACTTGGACCTCCTGCCGCCATCTTTAAAAGTGGCATGGAGGATTCTATGGTATCTGCTCTCACTCTGGTATTTGTAGAGGATGACTCCCCATACTATTACCTGGAACATTCTTTTTGTATCGAATCAGCGAGAGGAGAAAGAGGAAAAAGACGTATCCTCCCTTCACCAGTGTTCCCAAGGCTTCTGTCACTGGCTGTCTGAGCTGTTAACAATATCAAGCCCCCAGTGTAGTATAACTACCAATTTAAGCCATTGCTTGCTGGCCTGATACTGACCCACAGATCAGCCTACCAGTGACTCTGGTAGAGAAGAAGAAGGAAGGGGGAAAAATGAGATGGGAGAGAAAAAGACCTCAAGAGAGCTCTCCTCTGCCTTTAGTGAATTCTAATTTTGGGGCAGCTTGGGTAGAAGAAAATTCCATGAAAAGCAGGTTCTTGACAAAACCTGTCTTCTCTCATGAACAAACAACAGCATGATAAGACAACTGTCAGTCATTCCAGATTGCTCTCGCTTTGTGCTAAATGTTTTAAATTGTCCTATCATTGTTTGGGGTCCCATTAGTATAAAGTTCTCACAGACAGCCCAGCAACTGTTCCAGGAGCACATCATGACTGCTCCTGTTTCTGTACCTTCCTTCTAGTTTTCTGCTCACCTGGAATGTCTTCTTGGCTTGCCTTCATACCTTCCTTCAGGGCCTTTCCCTCCTCCAGGAAGACTTTCATAACTCCCCCAGTCCTCATTAATGTCTCTTTCCATTTAATTCAATAAATATAAAATCTATTATGTGCCAGGCACTGTGCTAAGTATGTTTCACACAATTTAGCACTTAACTGGGTTTAATTTTCTAACATTTGCTCTAATTTCAGGTACATTAGCTTTGTCTCTACAAGAAGACTGTAAGTTTCTTAAGAGCAGGGATGATATAAAATACTTGAAGGACCTGTAATTTGCCAGTGTAAAGAACACCCAGCGTGGGAACTCCTGCCAAATCACAGCTCACAGTCCATCTGACTTTGCTGGGAATACAAGGGAGTTGCCCAGGCCAGAGGCAAGATTGGAATCCAGGTTTTCCTGACTCCAAGCCCAGTACTTTATCCACCAATCCAGGCATAAGGGACCATATGCATCTTTTGCTTTTCTGTGTGTCTCCAACAGTGCCCTATATAGCATAGTTTTCAGTGTTTGTTGTTGTTTGAGTGATCGTGGGACTGGGCCCAGTCTGGATCTTCTCTGCCTTATCCTTTATTTCAGCGTACCTGGCAGGTAGAATTTGAGGAATGAAGGCTTTGGCTCTTACCATTTTACAGATTGACTTGGCTTCATCAGAAAATTTGTGAGAGTACACTTCTTCTGTCTCTAGGACTCTCCTGTCTACCTCTTCACGCTTCACTTTCTCTTTCCTCCCTCGGAAGGGTGACTGGCCAGCAATCATCTCAAAAATGAGGCAGCCCAGGCCCCAGTAGTCTGGACTCAGACCATACCTCTGGTTGTTCAAGACCTCTGGAGCTGAAAGAAGAGCAAAAGGGAGAAAGGATTGGAAAGGACCACTTGATGACCACAAGAACAAGAGAGTATGTCTGCCAAAGTGAGGCCAGAACCCTCTCGTGTTCATCGATCAGGAACTCAAGATGGAAGATAGTACTATTTCCAAAAACATGCATCCTAAAGGATTCCTTAGGAAAATTCCAGCCGGAGCAGTCCATAACTAAAATAAAAGGTGGGTTTCTTTTCACAAGAGCATACAACCTTACCCCTATTCCTGATCTCGGCTTGGTCCTCAAGTGGGCATGGTTTGTTTTTTTCCCATAAAGAGCATCTCATAGATTCATCATACAGGTGCAAAAAACACAAATCTAGCACGTCATGCTGTGTATGTGTGCATATGACGGCAAAAAGAGACTCACAGATGTATAAACATGCAAGAACACAAATTGGTACATGATGCACTTTCATGGGAGCACAGACATCCAGACATGAGCACAGATGCACATGTACATGTACGTGCATGAACAGACACATGTTTGTGTTCACAGATGGATATATGTTCAAAGGTGCGAAATGCTTGTATATGCAAACACACAAGGGAACAGAAACACATCCACATACTTGTGAACAGAGACACAGGTATGCAGACAGACACAGGTGCATACACATACCCATTCAAATAAATGCAAGCATTGACACTATACTCATAGGCACAGCATAGGTGTATTACATGCTTACATGTAAATTAAAATGCAGCCAGCACCACTACATACATGTGTGTATACACAGGAGAGGCAAAGGCATGTTATATACATGCATGTAAATTAAAATGTCAATACCAACACCATACACACGTGTACCACAAAAAACACACATGCATAGATATGAATGACCAAAGATATGTGGCCATACAGACACAGGTATAAATACATGTGATCACAGGCACATGGATTCAGGTACTTATCCATGTAAATCCAGGCATACGGATGTACAAACACAGATATATGCACACACATTATAGGAGTGTGTTGGTAAATATTTAACCACCAGCTCTCCAGAAAAAAAATGCACAAGACACTTTTAGTTTGATCTTCATTATTCACATTTTCTCCAACACTTTTTAAAGTCCATACAATCAACAAAAGAATAAATCAAGCCCTGATTTGCTCCATCCACTAGCCTTCAATGAATAAATACTCACAATTCTGGGAATTTAACAACTGGCTCTCCTGAGACAGTTTGTGCTGGCTCCAGAAACCCCTTGCATATGTGCATAGACATACATAGAACATGTACAGCATATGCATATATATAACATCCTTCAATGTGCAGATGGAGGAATGTAGACACATATACAATATTATTCCTAAGTCTAACACAGATCTTAGTATATGGATTTTCTGCCCAGCATCAAACTCTGTGAGTTCTGATAGTCAGAAGATACAGAGATGCAGGGGGATCTAATGGGAAGAATGCTTCCATTCCACTACTCAGTGAGTTGGGAGGAATGCCAAGTACCTTTCCTCCAGTGGGGTTAGTGCTCTCTGGGAGACAGAGTGAGCAGACAGAGCCCCAGTCTCTCCTGCTACTTCTGCCTGGGCTCTTCCTCTTGGCCATCTAGGGCAGTGGTCTGTGGACTGTGGTCAACAGGGGGTACTGCTGAGTACTTGTAGGGTGGTCTTTTTCATTATTAAGGTTTCCAATATGGCTGAGTCAGTGATTTTGCCTCTAAAGTCAATTAATAACTGATTTTAGGTATTACATTAAAAATGACAACAAATAACAGCTTCTGCTGTCTCACCCATAACAGTGCGAGGGTTTTTTATGCATCTTGGTAAATGTTGTTGTTCTTGGTTGTTGCTGTTTTTAAACAGCAGGGCTTTCAGGCCTGCGAGGTTTTTGGGGCCTGCTACCTGAGTCCCCAGATGGCTTAGAATTTATTAGGCTGTTCTCTGTGTCTCCAAAGGTATGGGTTGGTTTGGAACTTCTGGCTTGGGCATGGATGCCCACAGAGGGCAAATCTACTTCTCCTGAAGGCATCAACAAGAGTGGGTGTTCAGTACTATGCGCTTCCAGGAAAACCTCCCTGATTTAATGGCCCAGGGTGACTCATCAGCAATTTCAGGAGAGAGGAAGCTAGGGCAAAGAGAGAGGGGATGGTAGGGGGAGATTGGCTCTAACCCTATATAAAATCCCCAAGGACCCTGATGACCAAATGCTCCTTTCTTACCCAACTGCTTCCTCTGGGTGGGGCTCACTGCCCTTCCAAGAAATAGGGTGAAGAGAAGAAACAGGTGATCAGGTTACTTACCCATATATCCTACTGTTCCTACCCTGCCCCGAATCAAGTCTCCTTCAGGAATCTTCACAGCTAGACCCAAATCAGATATTCTGATATGGCCTAAGGAAAAGGAAAAGTATGTGAGAGACTTTATTCAATACAGATCATTAAAGGGAAGAGGTGGTCAATAGTAACTTTTAAAACAGCACAGTCTAATGGAAAGTTGTCAGATTGGAAGTGAGGAGACCAAATCCTATTCCCTGCTCTCCCCTTAACTGACTGTGTGCTCTTAGATGAGTCACATAAAATCTCTGTGCCTTAGTCTTCTTATCTTAAAAATGGGGATGACCATAGGGTCCTAACAACCTCACAGGATGGTGGTTGTGAAGATTTAATGAGAAGATGAATATGAGAGTACTTTGAAATGCTGAAGCACATGTAAATGTAAAATTAGTCTTTAAGACCAAAAGGCCTATATATAGTTTGAATGATGCCACCCGCCTGAGGAAATTATCTGGGCAAGCTAATTTGAGGACAGAGGTGGTGTTATATAGTAGAAAATGCAATGTACTCAGATTCGGGAAGCTGGATTTCTAGTCTCCCCCTTCCCCACTCAGTAGTTGTGTGACCTTGGGCAAATCCTAGCCCCTCTAGGGGCTCTCAGTTTCTTTATCTGAAAAAGAAGGGGGTGGATACAGATGATCTCAGGGATCAATTTCTATGACATCTCAAAAACAGACTCTTTGGTTTTCAGTTTCCTCATCTATCAAAGGAGGGGGCTGGACTGCATGACCTCCAAGACTCGTTCCATCTCTAACTATGTTTCCAAGCTAACCTATATCTGAAAAGGACCCTTTCCTACATCATCTCCCAAACTGCTTAATTAGCCGACACTTGAAGACTTCTAGCGTCATGACTTTGCCCAAGGCAGCCCATTCCACCCCGGATAGCTCCGATCATAAGGTTTTTTCTTTAGAACAGGTACCTCATACAGTGCCTTGTACATAGTATGCATTTAACAAATGTTTGTTGAGTTTTTGGACTTAGACAAAATCCATCCCTCTGTAACTTCTATCCACTGGCCCATAGTTGTCTGCTCTGTGGGTCAAGGCATCCTCTTCTGCACGACCAATCCTCAAACATATGAAGCTGGGGGGCATGTCCTCCTCTAACATTCTATGATTCGAGGAAGTACTGAACTGATTTTTGGTTTGGCAGATTCCTTCATGGGAAACATGTGAAATTTTCCTGACATTTTATAACAATTTTCTTAAGGGGAAAAATTATAAACTGATCTGAGTAACAACCACTACCCCTACCCTTTTTGGAGTGGCTGTTTATTTTTTTCTCTTCAAGAGAGAAGAAAGGAAAATTTGCATCTGGACTGGAAAAGTCTGAGAGATCCAATTAGAAGACCTCATAACCCAGGAATGACCAAAAACCGTGGACAAGACCTTGCTCCTGAGAAAGCTCTTTTTCTAGCTCTCTTGAAACCCACTAGGGCCCAGCCTGTGTCCTGGCAACAACCTGATCCCACAGACACGGACACCGCCATGGTCAGGGAGAGTTTCCCACATCACACGGATTTCCGCTTCACAGCACTGGATCACCCTCACAGCTTGATTCTGAGAATTCCAACCAAGGTGATGTTTAACCCAGATTAGTCTCTTGAAAAGAGCTTCCTGAATTTTCAGAAAAATGCTCAGCTCTCCTCCAGGCTTCCTCATAAAGGTTGGAAAGCTAGATTAACAGGTCTGAGAATATACTCTCAGGCTAGGGATGGGCAGGGAATATCTGGATTAATAGGGGCCAAGAACAGAATGCCCTGTGGGTGTTATCTGCAAGAGGAGCCCATGTGACTTAAGATTTCTTCCAACACAGTAGTTTACTGGGACCTTGGCAAATGATAAAAAAAGTAACATGGTATAGTAGAAAGTACCCTGGATTTGGGAACAGAGGGCCTGGGTTTGAGTCTTAGCTCTATCATTTACTATCTAAGTAACCTTGGAAAAAATTACATAACACATTTAAAGCCTCAGTTTCCCCACCTTTAAAATGAGGGTGATGGACCAAATGACAACTAGGTTATGAAGTAATGGAAGCATAGGAATAATTCTCAATAATGAAGCACTGACTAAGGCCAGGAAAAGTCCTTCCTCTTTCTACGGATGATGCTGAAATCTTAAAGTTAACTGCTGATCCTTTCACTACTTTTCTCCTTCCTTTTGGCTCTTCTTCCCACTCAGGCCTAAGATCTAATACTGGAATAGTCAAACTTGGTCTATCCCTGCTGATGGGCAGTAGAGATGGGTTCTAGGGCTATCTTCAACCAGATTCACTGAGTGACCTCATGGAGGTCTCTCTGGGCCTCAGTTTTTCATCTGCCAAATGGGGAGAATAACTAACTTACTCACCAAAGAGGGCTATTGTTAGGATCTAATGAGATAATATACCTAGAAGAGTTTTGAAAATTATAAAGCAAAATTATCAACTGTGATTCCAAAGGAACAATGAAGACATATGCCGCCTACCTCTTGGTAGGAAGGAGACAGACTCAATTTGCAGAATGAAACAGATTATTGGACATGGTCAATGTCAGAATTTGTTTTGCTTGACTATAAATATTTGTTACAAGGGCTCTTTCCCCCCTTTCTGAATGGGTGAGGGTAGGAGGTCATAAGAAAAGAAAATAAATGCTTGTTAATTTTTTCTTAAATTAATTTTTAAAAAGCTCAATATACAATACAGATACAAGGCATTATTTGGCCCTCAGAGATAAAGAATTTAAATTGTCAATTATCATCATTAATATTAAGGAGCATTATGGTAGAGTGGATAGAATTGGAGTCAGGAAGATAAGAATTCAAATCTATCTCTGATACTCACCAGCTATATGACTATGGACAAGGCAACTTCTCTGAGCCTCAAGAACTGTCTAAGACTATAAGTTATAGACTAGTTGTGATCTCAAAGGCAGCAGAGGTGCCCGTATCAATAACATCATGGGTCCTTGACATATTGCAAGGGACAACAACAACAATGAAATTGAAATAAGACTAGAACTTTTATTTGCAAATAAGAATCTCTGTGTGTGTGTGTGTGTGTGTGTGTGTGTGTGTGTGCATGTGTGTGTGGAAGGGACGACGGGGGAGAGGGTCTTTTTCCAGTGCTAGTTGTTCATCTAGTACAAGATACCCAGCAGAATTCTAGGATGACAGGTCACCAAAGCCTCCCAATCAGTGTAAGTCAAACCTGTGAAACCTCCTTCTCTCTAAAGCTCTTTGGGCCACAAAACTACCAGAGAGGGAAAGAATCTCCCAGAGCCACTCCCTGACTTACCGTAATCGTCTAACAGGATATTTTCTGGTTTCAGATCCCTGAAAGGGAAAGATAAGAGGCATTTGAGGGAGGGCATTTTGGAGGGCAGAAGCACGTCAGAGTCCCAGGCAAGCCTGGCTATGTAGGTATGATAACCCAGCTGTACCCTATTTGGATCAACCAGGACTTGGTGAAGACAAAGCACTTTCTTTCCTGCTCCCTTGGCTCTGGCCTACTACTCTCTCAATGTAACTACCACACCCCAGGTTTATCTTGGTTTTTTTGTATTAATTCAGTGAACAAACATTCCCCTTTGCCAAAGGCGTCTTCCTGTCCTCAGGCTAGTGGCACAGGGTGAGAAGGAGGCAGGTTAAGTACCAGTCTTTGGCTCTAGTCCAAGACCCTGGGTACTTTGGATGATGAGAAGACTTCAGCTTCAGGTCTACATTGATAGAGATGGAACAGGTTGATAAAGACTCCTGTCTGAGATCAGGAAAAGGAAAACTAATAGGGAAATAAAGCGTCAACTTTGGATTGTGGGGGAAATGAAAGTTATGGGTAGGGAAAGAATGAATAACATTAAGAAAAAAAACATTTTTTTGAAGAGTAGGGACCTAGATAAATAGAAAGGTAGAGAGATCCCAGGTTTAGTCTGAAGGAAAGGAAGGCCATAAAGGGAATTACATATATGTATGTGTGTGTGTGTGTGTGTGTGTGTATATATGTATGTATGTATGTATGTATGTGTGTATATATATGTCATGACCTTTCTCATCTTGATCTTCAAGCTCATCTTTCCTTGATCATTGAAAGAAACTTCACTGGTTAGTGGAGTAAGAGTAGGAGTAGGGGAGGAGAAATATATGGTTTCCAATAAAAAGGTTTTTATCTGCTGGCAAATGTGTACTTGGGAGATGTGAAGTGGTAATGAATGTGCAGAACTTGGTTTCAGGAGGCTTGGGTTCTAGCAGTCCCAGCTCTGCCACTTAAACTGTGGGACCACCACCATATTGTCTTCTCTGACTCCCTAAGTTCTCACCTGTGACAGGGGATAAATAACACTTGTTTTAAAAGTAAATGATTTTGATATCATTTCACAGGTGAGTCTGGGAACCTAACATCCTACAACAATCTTAATATTCTATCTGCATTGAAACTAATGTTCTCAACCTAATGGACTGTTTGTTTAACTGAAGCTGCTGTCCTCAAAGGGGGACATTTAGCACATTAAAATGTTGTTTGTGGAGCCCAGCAAAGTGACCCTTTGTGCCTGTGTTCAGGGTTTGTTCTCAAAGACTACATGATTTCTTTAAGAAAAATAAAATGGCCTCTTGCTGGGCTAAGGACCTTAACAGGGCCAACCACCATTATTTAAAGGTTAGAATGACACAAGTACATTTTGCTAATTTTCTGATCGCTAGTGGATACCAGTGCTAATGTACACATGCCAGGAGCACCTCCCCAGCCAATCGCCAGAGGGAAGCTGTGGGTATCATTGTTCTCTCTCATCAGAGTGATCTGTAGGTGGGAATAAGGGTCTCTTCCAGCTCCAACAGTCTGTGGCTTTGTGGAATGTTTATTTGAAAAGGCACAGGTAAGTGAGCAAGAGTTTCTTCTTTCAACCCTCAGGCAAAATTTTCTGACTGGTTCTCTTTTCACCTCAGTGAAAACAAAGCAAAAACAGAAGAGTGGAGATGGTGCTGGGTGGGGGGGGAAGTGTGTGCCTCAGAGAACATTCCATCTTGTTTTCAAAACTTTCTTGACCCCACAAGATAAACTCCACTTGAGTACACCATTGTGCCCGGCCTCCTTAGTAAACAACCCCAGGAGAGTATATAGGGCTGAGGGCTGCTGGGGGTCCAGGGTGAGAACTAGAAAGTCTGGGAGAGAGTGCACCAAGGAAATCGCAGAAATGACTTTGATTTGACACCGTCTTGGCTATGCCTCCCCTGGAGGCACCTTATAGGGTTTCAGCAAGGTGTCATCATCATTGCTTGAAAGCACTAATAAGGCTTGGGTAGGCACTGGTAGGGTGGGGAGGAGGGTGGGCATGACCAGTAACAGTCAATCCTCACAGAAGGCAATTACAGAAATATCGTTTCATGAATTTTGCTTTCGTTCTTCTCCCTACTCCCCCACCCCCCAATTAAAAAACAATTAAAAAAAACCAAAGTAGGCAAGCACACACACCAGTTAGGGGGTGGACTCATTCTTGTATTTGGGGTCAAACTTCCTGTGAATTTCCAGCAAATTTCCAGGAATTTGGAAGGATTCTTACACACAGGATCTACTATTGTCAGCCTTCACCAACCTACCTACCTAGATAGAAATGACTTCTGGGTTAATTGAAGGTCTTGGATCAAGTTGGTTCACAGAATCGCCCAGTTAAAATGAGGGAGAGGAATACATCACCCATTGGAAGTGCGTGGGTGGGGGAATGAATAAAAATAATACTGTTGTCTTATAGACCACCAGTAGGGAGGCAGTGGGGTAGAAAGATCACAGCACTGGGTTCTGTTGTCTTATAGACCACCAGTAGGGAGGCAGTGGGGTAGAAAGATCACTGCACTGGGTTCTAAGGTTCTGTTGCTAATTTTCTAGGTGACCCTGGCTAAGGCATTTCCCCTCTACCACCCCTCCCCCCCCAAAAAAAGTGAAGGGTTTGCATGGGATGATGTATAAGAGCCCGTCCAGCTCTAAACTTCATTCCAGGTCCCACTAGCATCTGGTGGTCCATGTCCTTACTCGCCTGTATACAGTATTTTCTCTGTGAAGATCTTCCAAGCCACAAAGGATCTCTGCCGCATAAAACAAGGCTCTCTCTTCCTCGAAGCCTGGGTTTCCCATGTTGTAGATGTGGAACTTCAGGTCACCCCCATTCATGATGGTCAGAACCAAGCATAATGCATCCTTTGTTTCATAGGCATAGGCTAAGTTGACCTGGGAATATATCGACAACACCATTGTGGCATAAGAAAGACAGTCCTGTTTCCTTTTTCCTTTGGAAAAACCTTAAAGTTGAGGGGGAAAAGGGAAGCAGCAGCAATGGCTAAAGGCTATTCCCTAGAAACCAGCTGGCCTCCCATTGACCCCTGCCATGTTGCTCGGTAGCTACAGTCAAATTCTAAGTCTCCAAAAGGTTGGAAGTGAGGCGGAATTCCTGGACTAACTTCCTCTCATTCAGTGGATCTCCAAGTGCAAACCACAAGGGTACTCCAGGGGATCTCCAGGCTGGGCCCTTGGCACATTTGCACTTAGAACAGGACTATATCTATGCTTTTGTTTCTGGCCTGGAGGAAGCCTTTGCCCAAGAGAGTTAATCAAAACCAGGCACTGTTTCCCTGGCATCTCCTCAAAAGCTGTGCCAGGCTTCTTTCTGTGCCTTCCCTTCTGCTGAGGATTTCCACTTATTTATTTTTGCTCTAACAAGTGCCAGTGGGTGGTGGGGTGGGGTCTTTAGGAGCTTCTCAGGCAGTCTATAGACTGGAGATATTTGAGAATCACTGTTCTAAATAAGCAGTTCAGGACTGATCCATTCAGGCTGAGCCTGGCCATTTCGGTCAGTACAAATGCTAGGTGTGCTAGCCAGAGAGGTACAGCCCCTATCTAATTCATCTGGGGTGGATGCCAGCAATATGTTTGGCTATTTAGTGGCCAGCCATTTCTTCATCATCAGGGCCATCTGGAGCTGGGGTTGGGGCCCGGAGGGCAGGTCACATCATGTGGGATCCTTCCCTTCCCCTACCCTTTCCTCTCCCCCTGAACATTCTGACACCAGTGAAACCTGGTTACAATGAATATCAAAGCAAGCCTTGATCACAAGATATTAAATTAGAACATAAACATCAGGAAGCGCACACAGCAGAAGCCTGGGAGGAAAAAGGGATATATCACTAAAGGGAAGTGAGACGGTCGAGGGAATGGGGTTCTACATGCTGACGCTGGTTGTGTTTTAGCAGCTACTTCTTCTCATGCGGGTGTCCCCTCCTATCTCCAGAAAAGGGATGCCCCATAAACTACAATGAATGACCCAATTTCCATCCTTCTAGTTGGGATTCCAGTGGAATTCTGTGCCAGCAACACTGGAAAGAGATGGATGAACTACTAAGAGCTCTTGGTCATAAACCTCTCAGGAACAAGCATGTTTCTGCCTAGCATAAACCCCTCTCTCCACTTCCCCAATAGGGCATTCAGAATAAAGTCCCACCCTATGAAAGCCATGCCCCTAGCAAAGATAGCACTATGACGAGCATCATAGGCAATGATCAGAGTCTATCTTCCAAAGGCGGATTTTATTCATTGGGCAAGAGCCTGTGGGGCCAAACATCCTGTTGGCACCATCTGGATTATTCCTGTGGGCCTGGTCTGGCCAAACAGGCCTCCTTAATGCTCACCATGACTCAGTGGCTTGGCGCACATCGTCCTCCATGCCTGAAATGCAATCTCTGCTGACCTCTGCAGAATTCCTGACTACTTTCAAGGGTTAGCTCAAGTACCACCTTCTATGCAATGCCTTTCCAGACCTCCTTTAAAATTACACTGTACTTTGTGTATATTTTGCATTGATTTATTGATGTACCTGTTATCAACACCCCCTCCATCTCATAGAATGGAAGTTCTTTGAGGGCAAAGACATTTTTACTTTTGTCTTTGTACCAACACCAAACACAGTGAGTAGGTGTCCAATAAGTGCTTACTGAATGAAATGCTTGTTGAATTATTCCTCAAGAGCCTTGATTTCTATGCTGTCTTTTCAAATGCCATATAAGTTTTGCTAGCTTTTATAGAGCTTAAAGCTACCTCCCCTTCAAGTCTAATTCACAGGATTAACTCCTTCAGAGAAATAATAGATGACAAAGTCATCCTCTCTGGCTCTAGAGTGGATCCTGGACAGAATGCTAGTTCCTAGGTCCATGTCATGGGACACCTTAAAATGAGGTCTCTGGGAGACTTTAATAACCAACCAGTTTGGATGAGGTCAGAAAATACCCCAGGAAGAGAGAGAATTGTTTAATCACCCTTTTGGAGGTGAAAAGTTCATGACTCTAACAGATTCCAGTTCCTTTGCTGGTCACCAACTTGTACCAATCAGTCAATCAATCAGAAAGCATCTATTAAGTCACTGTTATTTTCAGGGCACTATACAGATTCTGGGAATACAAAGGCAAAAATGAAACACTTCCTGCCCTCAAAAAGTTTTTATTCTTTTGGGGAGAGAGGGAAGCATCTCTCACACACACACAATTATGAGAAGGGCTTGTTTTTATGCACCGCTTCCTCTATTCTTGTCCTCCCAAGGGACTTGCTGGCAGAAAAGTAGGGACACAGGGCTTTCTGGTACCATTGGACTGTCCCTAAGTACTTAGAGAAGTTTTTGGTTCTCTCCTCATTGTCTGGTCTGGCATACAGCAAGTGTTCATTTACATCTTCGGGTGATCAGCTCCACCCAGGAGGAAGACTCAGCTAAATTATCCTGCCCTCTCTGGACACATCCCTAAGAAAGTCTCCTTTCTACTACCTATATTCATAACGAGACAATACTTTAAACATACAGTAAAGACAATTAATTTTTAGCAACAATGAGAAAAGTATCTTTTACCCTAAGGTCCTAAGTGAAAATTTAATACGCCAAGATAGGTTCTATAGAAAGCAGTATTTATTTCAATAAAGTCCTCGGGAATGAGGACAAGAGTTTGCTTGTTAGGCAAACTTTGAGATACTTCAATCAAGAATATTTAGCAAGAGCCTGATAGGCAAAGGGCACTAGACTAAAGGTTTCAAAGCTCCTCTTGGGAATTGGAATTGTTTCATTCGTTGTTTTTGGTGCTTGGCACATAGTGGGTGATTAACGAATATTTGTTGATTGCCTGAATGATTGACTGATTGAAAGGAAAGGGAAGATAGTGTTCCTGCCTGCCCAGAGCTTACCAGAAGGGTCAGTGTGATCTAGTGGGAAGCATAGTGGACTGGGGGTCCAGTCCCAAGCCTGCCATCTGCTAGCTCTGTGACCTCAAGCAGGTGATTTGCCCTATCTGGGCTGCTGTTTCCTCACCTATAAAATAGTGGGTTTGTACTTGTTGTCATGTAGGGTCCCTTTTGGAACCATAACACGATTCTAGGGAGGGAGAATAAGTCTGGGTTTTATGTTCTCTGGGTAGAGAGGGGGCGTAACCTTCTACTACATTTCGTGTGCTCTAGTTATCGTTTGTCTGAGTCAGAGTTACTGTCAGTCATTTCCGCCCAGTCTAGACTGTATTCAACACTCACAACAAACTGGCTGTTGACTTTTTCTAAAATCTGCTTCTCATTGAGCGCCATGGACTCTCCTTTTCTCTTCTTTATCCTCTTCTTCTCCAGCCGCTTACAGGCGTACATTTTCCCAGTAGCCCGCACCTGACAAGCACAGACCTAGAAGCAAAAGAGAAAAGACAATTAATCAGACTAGGGGCTTTGCAGAAAGGGCCCTTGAACTAGATGGGCAGAGACTGTGTCAATGAGCCACTGCTGAGCATGGTGTGATCTAAGATTGTTAGACGTGGACAGAACGCTGAAAATCATCTTGTCCAGTCCCACCCTTTGACAGAGGAGGAAACTGAGACCCAGAGAGAAGTGACTTGTGTAAGATAGTAAGAAGCAGAGGCAGGATTTAAATCTGGGTCCTCCAGCTGCACATTTAATGCTCTTCTCACTCTTTGAGAATTAAAACATAACCCCCAGCAGACCAATCATACAAAGTAGGACTCACATTTGATTTGAGAGAGTTTTCCAAGTGGCTTAGATTCAAGGATTCCTACCCAGTGTTTTGGGATACCCCAGGTTGTTACCAGGCCAGCTAGCTGCCAGTTAGTGAGACAGACAACATTTATCTTTGGTGCTTCTAGCCTACCTGGTCTACCATTTCCCACTTTGGTGGTGCCCTTTACATCTTTCTTCACCATTCCCTCAGCTGCTATTGCCACCTCAGGTCCTTTTCTCTCCCCATCCCCACTCCCACCCCCTAGCCAAACCTATTGTCTAGAAAGAATTTGATTAGCTACAGCATAAATGACTGAGAAAATCCCCAAATATTGTCTATATGCTCAGGGAGCTATAAAGGATCAAAGCCCATAAGCCAAAGGACTAAAATTTTAAGTATAGAATTTCAGGTATTCATTAATTTGTAGAAAAGGCATTGAGGAAGGGTTCCTTCCACTATATCAGCAGCTACCTACCTGACTCTGTCTGACTACATGACCTGCATCCTTCTTTTGGTTCCCTTCCTTGCTTTCTCAAATTAATGTTCCCCCCTTCCACCCTCTCAAATTGGAAACTCCTCTGGTGATCTGATTTATCTTGTTTAGTTGTTTCAATTGGGTGTGACTCTTCATGAGAGCATTTGGGGTTTTCTTGGCAGATACTGGAATGGTTTGCCATTTCCTTCTCCAGCTCATTTACAGATGAGGAAACTGAGGCAAACAGGGTTAAGTGACTGCTTCAGGGTCACATAGCTAGTAAGCATCTGATTTGAACTCAGGAAGATGAATCTTCCTGACTCCAGGCCCAGCACTCCATCCAATGTGACACCTAACCCCACTGATTTATCTAAGGGAACACAAACTTGTGGCTTTCTGAAAAAACCAGCTTTCTTTCCCTTCACCCTCATCATTGACATAATTCTATCTAGGGTTTCCAAAATCCTCTGCTTCCTTCCCACTCTTTCCCTCAGTAATACTCCCATATCAAGCCCTGCCCCCAAGGTGAGTCACAGCCGATGTGGAAATTGACAAGTATGCCCTAGAATAAGAATGCCTGGGGAACCCCAGTTGAGAAGCCTACTTCGGGCACAACCCAAGGGAAGCAGGAAATTCTGCCAAGATTATAAGTACTTTAAGTTACAAATATTCTTCATACCAAGTTTTAGAAATCACTCACCTCCCCGAAGCCTCCTTTGCCTAGCACTCGATATTGCCTGAAAGTGTTTTTGGTCACTGGTTGTCTGGAAGAAACCAAGAAGTCAACATTGGCCTTATGGCATTAAGATATTTTTTCCTCCTGTCTCTGAAATAAAAAAGATGACTCTATAGATTGTAACCTTTGTTGATGAGGAGGCATTACTAACTAGTGTCAGCTCCACCATAAACAAGTTATGTGGCTTTGGGCAAAATCACTTTATCTCTGGGGCCTTCAGCTGATTTTTCTGTAAATGTGAGAGGCTAGCCTAGATAATTGCTTAGGTCCCTCCATCTCTGACACCCTAGGGTTATATGGACTTCTGGACTGATCACTAACAAAATGAGAACCAATGTTTCATAGGGCACTAGGGAATCGCTCCCTTGGGTGATTTCAGACAAAGGCCAAGAATATCTGTTAGGGGCTGGGTCTTCCATTCTAACCAAAGAGACACTTAACTTTTCTCCTTGTGTGGAAGGCAAGACACAAACATACATGGGAAAAATTGAAGAAGTTTAAAAACTGAATCCAGAAGCTGATTTAAAAACACTTTTTATATTGTGTTCTCACTCCAGTGCAAAGGATAAAACCTCAGCCACTTATTAGCTGGATAACCTTGGGCAGGCTGCTTAATCTCTTGGAGAATCATTTTCCTCATCTATACAACGGGCTTAAAAATACCTATACCTCACAGGCTTGTTGTGGGTACCAAATGAAAGAATGTACATCAATCTTTTGTAACCTCAGAGCATACTATAAATGTGAGCTATAGGATGATGCTAGGAGAGGTGATAATGATGGCAGTGTCATAGGGAAGGGGAAAAGAAAAAAAGAAATGACGTGTAAAGTAGGACTGGAAATAAAATAGAAGTGATGTTCTGGGGTGATGGTATGGTGCAGAGCAATAGTGTGAAATGGAAACAGAAATGGAGGCCTAACTGTACCTAAGATTCCTGTGGGTTACATATTGACTTAGAAAACCATGGTATTAATATTATCTATCACATCATCTATCTATTTGTTTTATTGTATTTTTATTGATTTTGTTAAATATTTCCCAGTTATATTTTAATCTGATTCCCAATTATATTTTAACACTCAGGAGTATTGTGGGCCACACATGGTCCATGGACTGCATGTTTGAAACCGCTGGTACCAAGGAAAATAGTACTGGAAGTAGAATCCAGAGACCTGGGTTTGAATCCTGGCTCTGCCACTAGGTAACATGGGGAAATTCACTTAACATCTTTGAACTTCCATTCCCTCATCTGTAAAATGGACTTAACACTGCCTTCTTCACAAGGTTGTTGTAAGGAAAGCTCCTGGGAAACCTTTTAAAGCTACACAAATGTAAGTTGTCGACCTCAACTACACTTGAGGCCAGATTGTCAGAAGAAGGGGAACGAAGTGTTTTTCATGCTGCCCTCAGTACTAAATCCTCGGGTGACATTTGTGAAAGCAGACATTCTAACAATACGAGTCTAAAGACTTGAGAATATAGAGATTGCTGTCATTCACTTGTGTCCGACTCTTCATGACCCTGTGGACCATATTGTCAATGAGTTTTTCTTGTCGTGATTTGCTATTATCTCTTCTAGTGGATTAAGGCAAACAGAGGTTAAGTGACTTGCCCAGCATCACACAGCCAGTAACTGCCTGAAACTGAATTTGAACTCAGGTCTTCCTGACCCAAGGCCCAGCACTATATACTCTGAGCCTTCTGGCTGCCCCAATATATATAGATTATTGGCTACAATAATGCTGTCCCTGCCTTTTTTTAAAAGGCTAGGTGCAGAATTTTTCACTGAAGCCACTTTCATAACAAAGTTGAGTCTAGTTAGACTTTTATCAATTAACTTAATTAGTTATAGTATGATGAGCTGATTAGAGAAATTAGACCAATTCTAGAAAGGCCCACAATATTCATTTGAATTATACCTAAATGGAAAACTGGTCCATGGGGGTCAATTTCTCCTTTAAGTAAGCTAAAAGTTACATTGCATGTTAATGTTTTGATTTCACTAGAAACCATGCTGCAGGTATGTTAGCCTATTCCCCTTACAGAACCTCTTGGCAAAATCCAGTTTAGTTTCTCGCAAGTCTGTTCAGAATTTATCAAGTTTGACTTAGATGTGACATCACAGATGTTCAGAAGGAGCATGAGGTATGATGAAAAAAATACTAGACAAACAAATTCATTCAGGCAGGACCCTCGTGTCGTGATTTTGGGTCCCAGCACCTCTAAACCCCTAAATCTCAACACTGCCACTTCCAACCCAGCCATAATAAACTCCCTTTTATTCAATTAAAAAAAAGAATACTAGTCAAAGACGGAGGAGGCTTGGGTTCTAGTTGTGGGTCAGGCACTAATGCATTCTGTGGTTCCTCATCTCCCTGGGCTGTAGTAGCCTCCTCTATAAAAGAAAAGAATTGGATGAGATGACCTCTTAAGGTTGCTCTAACATTCTATGGTCTAAAGATCCTTCCATCTGTTTTGGTGATTTATTTGCTGAAGAACTAGAGCTTAATCCTGATAAGTATGAAATAATTGCCTATTCTGCAAGAATCCACACTCCTCTTAATCTTTCTTATGCAAATAATCAGCCAGAGAGCCTGTTTCATGCCTTAGGAACATACTATCAGCATGTACTCCACACTTAGGCCTTAGAAGCTTTTCCTACTGAGCTCTACTCCAAACCACATCAAGGTCTACCAGCCCTAACAGTTTACGATAGAAGAAGAACAAACAGTAACTCGACATTACCACAGAATCCAACTGCTAGAGGAGGAGTGTAATACAATTTTAGAGGAATTTCTTGGTTAACCTTGTGGGGAGAAGAATCCCTTTAACACTGAAATGGAGAAACATTAACTGGGCAAGAACCTACAAGTAAAATGGGACAAATGATCAAGTTCTGAAGATATGTTAACTCTTTGGGAACTGTTCATTCATTTAACAACTTTTTTTTTTAAAGGACTTACTATGGATCACAGCTCTAGAAGGGACATTGAGATCATCTCATCTAGTGATTCTCAAACTGCGAGTCAGTGAGCTCAAAACTATGTTCCATAATAATATTAAGACATGAGTTTTCCTTTTAAAATAGTCCTCTTTTTTTCAAACTTCATATCTGTCTGAAGCCAGAATTTCTTCATATACTTCAACCAAAACAACATATCACAACAGATTGAATGCAGAAGCAGATATGAGAATCCAGCTGTCTTCGATTAAGCCAAGCATTAAAGAGATTTGCAAAAATATGTAATACAATGCCACTCTTTTAACTGAATATTTTTGTTTTGGAAAATATGGTTGTTTTCATAAAAACATTTATGTCAAAACATAATAGGCTTTTATTTTTTTAATGAATTAATAATATTTTTAAAATTTATTGGTTTTAATTTCTAATATGGTTAATATCAATAGATAAAACCCACATAAATAAAAGCCCTTTGGGGCTCTCAATAATCTTAAGAGGGTAAAAAAAAATTTTAAGAGGGTAAAGGGTTGGGACAGGTAGGTGGTGCAGCGGGTAATGTGCACCCAATGAGCACCAGTCCTGGAGTCAGGAGGACCTGAGTTCAAATCCAGCCTCAGACACATAACATTTACTAGCTGTGTGACACTGGGCAAGTCACTTAACCCCAATTGCCTGACATTGAAAAAAAACAGAGGGTAAAGGGTCCCTGAGGCCAAAGAGTTTGTAGTCTAACGCCTTCATCTCACAGAAGAGGAAACTGAGAGGTGGAGACTTGCAAAAGGTTGCTCAGGTAAAAAATAGGTAACAGAGCCAGTGTTCAAACCCAGATCTTCTCTGACTCCAAATCCAGGACTTCTTCTACTACCCATCACTGCCACAATGTAGGTAAGGCACTACGTTAACCACCAAGGGTACAAAGATGAAATCAGACACCCAACTTTCTAGAAGCTCATAATCTAGGAGGAGAGAGAAGACCTGTGTGAATAACAATAATGCAAATTAGATAATAGGTGCAAAGGAGATGTTGATACTAAGTGTCATGATAAATCTAGGGAGGGATCTTTCAAATATAATGGAGCCCTAGCTGACTTAAGGAATCAATTCCCCACCCCCCACCCTGTCTTCCCCTCCCCCTTCCCTAATACACACACACACACACACACACACACTAAAAGAAATAGTTCTTTTCTCCTCACAGTACAATAGTCCAATGGGAAATCTTATTTTCACTAATTCCAGTGGGTTTTTGAAGGTGTAATTAAACCCATCTAGAAAAGATAAAGGTTTTCATATACAACCTCCCCCTTTTCTTCCCCCCTTCGGCATCTTTGCATATGGAAATGCTCATATTCGTTGATGATTTTCTAGTTCATAATTTTAAAAATTAGAAAGAAAACAACATGCCACCCATGAGACAAGGGGACTAATTGGGTCTGCCGTAACAAGGACCCACCACAATAGAAAAGCTGATTGTTCTAGTACTCCCAATTCAACTTGGATGATGACACTGTTCCTTTATGAACCTTGTAACACCCAGGTGTGGTAATGCTTTATTAACCTGGGTTACCAGGTTACTAAAGTCTTTTTCCCCAGGTTCGTCATGGCACTGAGATCCTTGGAGGCTATACCAGCACAGCACAGGTTGTATCAGACCCTTCTTAAGTATGGGCCCTATGACAGACTCTCAGTCTTTAGATCAAAGAACCAGCCCAAATCCAGAGAAGCTCATTCCCAGAAGGCTGACCACCATGGAAATGATCTTTTCTGGCCACAGCGCCTTATAAAGACCATCGACTAAGGCACTGGAAGGGTTGGGGTGGGGGTGTGGCTGCTGTTACCTGTATCAGTAGGGGGGACTGCCCCATAAATAAAGTCATGGATCTTTTAAAGTATTGAAGATGGATCACTAAGTTATGCAGCGAAAGGGTATACAACAGGTGGATATAAATTACTACTCAGAGCACCAATCAGAGAAGGTAGAATGTAAGAGCTGAAAAGTGCTTTCCATGTAGTACAACTGCCTCACATTACAGATAAGGAAACTGAGGCCCAGAGAGGGGCAGTGATTGACCTAAGGATACGGGTAGGGAGTGACAGGGATAAGGTAAGCATTCTAGATTTAGAGCCAGAAGGCACCTAGAAGGTCATCTGGTCCAACCCTGTCATTTTTTTCAGATGAGGAAACTATAACATAGAGGAGTTAAGTGCCCTGTCCAGGGTAACACAAGTGATAAATTTCAAAGGCAGGATTTCAAACCCAAGCCTTCTGATTTGGCTTTTAATCACTGCCTCTAAAACCCAGGCCTTCTAACTGAGACCTGGTCTCTTTCAATTAATAACAATAGCTTACATTTGTATAGCAATTTGTAGTTAGGAAGAATGTTGCTGATCAATTATTTCACTGGATCCTTGTAACAACACTGTGAGATAAGTAATGCTAGTATGGTTATCCCTGTTGGTGAGAAAATGGTGTCTCAGAAAGCTTCAATGATCAAGAGGTGGCATGAGTGGAAACCAAATCTAAGCTTCTGATTCCTGATCCCCATCCTACCATTGCACCACACTGCCCTCCTCTACCCTGTGGCTTCTCTGAATATTTACTCAGTACAACGTGCCCTCTTGTAGCTACAAAGAAGACTCCACTGAGCATGGCTTCCATTGTTTTTCTCATATTAGGGGTGGATTTGGGCTGACCCATCACCCATACTCTCATACTTGCTTGGGACACATTGGCAAGAATTGTTGGCTGGGGCCAGGGAATGGGAAAGCCAACCTGCCCAACATAGGGATTGAATCCTTGACCTTGGCCTCATTGATGGAAGGTCTTATCCACTGAACTAATCAGGCCAAGGCCCTTCAAGGCAACACAGTAAAGAGGCTGCCTTCTCCAGCCCTCAACATGCTTTCTCAAGGTGGAGACAAAGTTAAAACAGGAAACATTCAAAAAAGAGAGAATATTGTCTCTACTACATTGAGCAAAGGCAGGGAATAAAGGAAGAAGGGACTGAAATAAGATTTTGCCAGGCAGGAGCTGTCAGTCTTAACAGCTTTAGACACGTCTCTTCAGAGGAAAGTGGCCAGCTTTGCTGTTTACATAAACAAGGGGAGGAGGGGGCGATGGATGCTGAGCTGAGGACATTTGCGTCCCTGGCCTCCTTTGCTCCATGACCACAGCAGGTTCAAATTCCAGAGAGTGTCTCAGTGGCCTCCAGTGTACAGTAAGGACCCGGACTTTGTGCAATGAAACACGGTCATCTCAGGAAGCCTCTTCCTTGCCCTGGCTCCTCTTCTCTGACAAAAGAAGTTTATGTCATGTTCTTGTGCCCTCACATTGCGTGACCTCCCTTGCTTGGCCCATCAAGGATTTGGCCGTGTATCACATTAACACAAGAACCACATCATACACTGGAGAGGCTGTAGCATGCTAGAAGGGATGGGCCACTGGCCAGGGAGTTAGAAGGCCTAGGATCTCACCCTAACTCTACCACTAACTGGTACTGTGGAATCTTAGGTGAGTTCTAGTTCCCTGGGACTCACTTCTCTATTGGTCAAATGCAAATGCCACCTGTAACAAACAACTTAGAAGAATCATAGAACTTCAGAAGTGGAAGCAACCTTAGGGGCCATCTTGTCCAACCCCCTGCCTTACAAATAGGAGTTTAAGTGACTTGCCCAAGTCCTCCATCTCCAGAGCCAGCCCTCTTTCCATTGTACCACAAGTATGGTTCATATGCAGAGCACTAACATATTTGTAAGATCAAAGAACCAGATTCTGTGATTTAAATTCTTATTGGATTCTCAAATGACTCACATAGAATGTGTGTGAGCATGCCTAAACACCTACACCCACATACATACACACCACACAGAACTCAGACTTACCTTTCCAACCACTTCCACTGGAGAAACCTGTCAAAATACATGCTATCCAGGTATTCTTGAAAAGGTTCTCCACTTAGGTAGTCAAGGACAGATCTATCTCAGATGAAAAAAGACACACAGTTTATCATCCAGAGCTTGCAATGGGTCAGGGCCAATTTAAATACTTTAACGTTCAGGGGGCTCATCTATCAACACATTTTTGGAGAGCAAACAAACAGTTGCAAAGGACCTTCAAGCTTATCTAGGCCACTGCCCTCATTTTGCAGATGAGAAAACTGAGGCCTAAAGAGGTTGAATGTCTTGCCCAAGCTTAAACAGATGGCAGGTGTCAGAGCCAGGATTCAAACTCAGGTCAACTGATTGCAAATCTAATGCTCTCCCCACTGTATCCTGCAGAAACCCTGGCAGCAATATAAAAAGGAAATGTAGCCATGCTAGTAGTGAGGTTTGTCTGTAAGTGTGTCAACACAGAGAATAAGTCAGAAGATCACAAACACTGGGGACAGGGCAAGTTCTCAGGAACCTCAGCACTGCTTTGGGAGCAAATTGTTGCAATCAGAAGAAATACTAATCCTGCAAGGCAACTCTTTGCATTTCTCTACTTGGATTATGGCCTTCTTTTGAATTGTTTTGCATTTAAAGGTAATGCTCGGTGCTGGTATTGGTGGTGGGCTAAAGCAAGATGCTCACAAAGCAGTCAAGGGGAACACCTTGAAGAGCTTGAAGACACCTTGAAGGCCAACCTCAAACGACATGACCCAGTGGTGGGTAGACAGCTGAGAAAAGACAGGCAGAGCACGATGGTGCTCTTTGAGCAGAGACGTGGGCTTGTGTGAGCAGAAGGGTAGACTTTGCTCAAGGCAGTCGAAGCTGCTGACTTAGGGACAATGTTCAGGTGTGCACCACAATGTAGAAATGACCACACTAACGTATGAGTCTTTTTTGCCATATTTATGCATCCAGAGGGCAAGTGGCATCTTGAGACAGAGAGAATGGGAATACATGTAAAAACAAACAACATATTAAGAGCCTACTGAGTATAAGACACCGTGTTATTTGTGTATATTTTATATATATATACATTACTTGTTTATATTATATATACATATATATATATATAAACAAATAACATATTAAGAGGTACTGAGTATAAGACACTGTGTTAGGCATTGGGAGAGATACAAAATTTAGATACCAAATGATTCTTGTCATCATGGACTTTACAGTCTAATAGAGGATCAAAGAAAATGTATGTGAATCCTCTCCTCTCTCTGCTTCCAGTTCTCTGGGCTATATCACCATGCCTCAGCTGCCTTTTTACCCTGAAACATTCCTTCATCCCTGCAGTTCCCTTCTCTCGTGAGTGAGCTCTTCCTGGAACCTCCATGCTGAAGAAGGGCCTGGTCTGGTCATCCTTCATTTCTCTCCCAGCTGTGCTTCTCACTCTTAAGATTTCACCACCATGATCCCACATGGGCACCACTAACATACCTCCCCCCCTTCCCACCTAGATTTCCCAGCTCTCTTTTATGTACTGTCTTTCCCCACTAGATCATCTGGTCCTTGAAGGTAGGGTTTCTCTTTCTTTTTGCTTATATTTATATCACAAGCACTTAGCATAGTGCCTGGCACATAGTACACACTTAATGAATGCTTATTATTGACTTGTTGACGTTGCAAACTTTGAAGTGCAATAAAAAAGTTAGCAATTTTTAAGGAAAAAGCACTTGCAGCTCTTATAAATTACTACAAAATAAAGTACTATGTGGGACATGAGGGGGAAGATTACTAACAACAGAGGCTTCAGGAAAGGCTTCATAAAAGAGGTGGTATTTGAGTTGGACTTTGAAGGATGGGTGACTTAATGAGTGAAAAGGGGGAGAGAAGATATTCCAAGTATAAGGAAAAGTAGAACCAAATATATTAAAAGAAATTTGAGAGGTTCAAGGGGTAAAGGGTAGGAAGTTCAGTTTGGGTCGGGGGTTGGAGGGTGTGAAAAGAGAAGGTGCCAATCATCCAAGCTGAATGTCTGATAGAGAGGATAAGGCAGATAGATGTGTTTATACAAAAGGTGAGGCTTTCCACACAAAAGCTAAGAGAGAAAGCTCTGGGCCAACTCACTAACAACTGTACACATGTACAAATCAGATAGCCATGGAGGTTTCTGAGGAATTCAGAAGATCAGGAAGTTAGAAGTCTGAATTCTACTGTAGACTGGGTTCCCCAGCCTGCAAGAGAGCTAGGTCAAGCCATGTTATTTACTGCATGCTTGTGCCACCCAGCTGGGGCAAGGGAGAATCTGTCATGCTCTTACAGGAAGATAATTTACATTGGAAAATACTGGTCTGGTGAATTGTGAGGGAGTTGATTAGGTCCATACCTCAGACTGACAGCGAAGGGCTGTTTCCCTATGAACAAGTGCTGATGAAAACTATATGACGGGCTTAACTCAGGGGGAGAAAAGGAATATTTATTAGGATGTCTCTCTAGGCAATATATACTGGGTGGCCTGTTTAAGCAATCAGTCCCTTTTAAATAGAGTCAGCTTTAAATGAGGTCAACCCAAAATGGTCCCTTAGCAAAAGAAAGGTACAGTGTGGAGAGCATTTACAAAATAAATATTATACATATATGATACACAGTCTGACCATTACTTCTGTGTGACAGTGATCAAGTCACTCCATCACTCTGGGCCTCAGTTTCTTCATCTGCAAGATGAGATTGGTTGGATTAGATAGATGATCTTTAAGGTCACTTCCAGCTCCAAATCTATGATCCTATTGTGTGTGTGTGTGTGTGTGTGTGTGAATAATCTTATACTAAAATACCACAGATATTTGGCATTCATTCATCTACATCCAGATGCAAGACTTGTACATTTGAGGGCATACTTATAACATTACAAATAGTGTAAAAATGTTTTTCTATATATTCAGTTTTTATCCCAAATACTGAATTAGTTTGTTTCAGGCCAGGTGTTCACAAACCAAATCATACACATACTCTCTTTCTCTCTCTCTCTCTCTCTCTCTCTCTCTCTCTCTCTCTCTCTCTCTCTCTCTCTCTCTCTCTCTTTCTCTCTCTCTCCCTCCAAAGGCAGGATTGTTTCAAACTGACTGGTGGCCTCTGTTTGAGGATGTTTTGTCCTGCCCTAAATGATGTAATGGAGATTAGGGAAATGAGCCCTGATGTCATTCTCCATTCTGGCTTCCACTCCACTCCTCTCTATGTATTCAGTTACTCTTAACTCTGGTGAGGCTGCAGCTTGTCCAAGACTTCCATCAGTACCTTCCCTCAAGTCACAAGTTAGCATTTTGCCACTGGCCCATGTCTTCCTAGGGCCCCAGACATCCAGAGATATCATAGCTGACCTTGGCTGAGGCAGAGGGAGGGTAAAATGTGTCTGTGCGTGTATATATATACATATGTATATACACATATACACATATGTGTAGAGAGAAGGTGGGGAGAGAGGGAGAGAAAGAGGTAAGACACCATGGCAGAGGATACAGATGTTTTTTCAATGGTGTATTTCAGAAACACTACCAATAATAAGTTCACTTCGCCCTCATTACACACAGCATCCATGTGATTATATTGCAGTGACCACTACCCTAAGCTGCCTGAAGACCTGATCTATCTTATTGCATAGAAGCACTCCCGTTTTCACCGCCCAACCTCTTAAGAGCCCAGACAAAACTTTGACCCTTGACTCCCCAACCTCTGCCACACTCCAAGGCAATGAATGCCCTAACTGCTGTTTTTCTCCAGTACCAGGCACTTCACACATCTAATCTGGATTCACACAAGTGTGATGGCCGACCAGCTCAACTGGATGGGCAAAGAGCTACAGGGTTCTTTTTCTCTCTCCTCCTATAATAACCACATCCCTGACCAGCCACTAAGTTCTCCCTATTTAGGGTCAACTCTAGAAGCTGTCATTGTTTGGGGACCCAGTTATACTGTTGTTGTTCTGTTGCTCAGTTGTCCCCGACTCTTCATGTCCCTCTGGACCATAGCATGCCAACACAGTCCATGGACATTTGCCATTTCCTTCTCCAGTGGATTGAGGCAAACCAAGATTAAATAACATCCCTAGGGTCACACAGTTAGTCAGTGTCTGTGGCTGGATTGGAACTCAGGTCTTCCTGACTCCAGGCCCAGCGCTCTATCCACTGAGCCACCTAGCTACCTCTCCCTTTTACATTAGGGCCTCATAACACTGTGCACAGAGGAAGAGAGAGGGGAATGGTAGAGGGTAGCAGGGGAGCCTTTGACAGGCAGCAGTCCCACCAGGGTGGAGAGTCTGGACAGATGTCTGGAGTGGGAGCCAGAATGGAGAATGACGTTAAGGTCTGTCTCCTCCAATACCATGACGTCATCTGAGACAGGACAAAATGTGCTCAGGCACAGGCCCATCCAGGACAATCCTGCCTTTTGAGGAGTTGAGGGAATGTGTGTACATGAGTGAGTGCTCGAGTGTGTATGGGGCACACACACACACACACACACACACACACACACACACACACACACACACGGTTTATGAACACCTGGCATCAAGCAAGCAAGTTCAGTATTTGGAATGCAAAATGCGTCTTTGGCTCCATCTGGGGAGCAGTCTGGTAGAGCTGCCCTCACTAAGGCAACATACTTCTCAGCAGACAAAGAGATGAAATAATGCAAAGAAAGAGCCCCTTCTCCTGCTTTAGGAAAGACTGATGGCTTTTGAAGTACTCAGGACTGGAGGAGGCTGAGGGAAGGGGGAGGGGAAAGAGAAACTCCATCCCATTGAAGGTTTTCTGGAAAAACCAGGCAGAGCAAACTTTGCACATTCCTCTGTCGAAATGGACTGTAGAGCCACTTAATTTTTATTCGCTTTGAAACAGAGATGTTTTCTTTGGACTTGCCACTCTTGTATCTTTTCACGTAGTACAGAATCTATGGCTGGTTTCCTTGGCTGGGTGGGACACGCTGGTGAATACCTGGGACACCAAGTGCCTGAGTGTGCACCCCTATAGAATGGAATAGAATTGCTTCTTCTCATTCATACCCATGAAGCAACCCTGACACCCATGTGACATGGCATATCTGAGGCAGCCTGAACTTCATCTCATCTCTGGACACAGAATCTCCTTCTGCATCTCTCCACTCACTCATCTCTTGCCATGTGCACAATATTGTACCAGGCTTTATATCTGAAAGCTGCTGACAATCTTTGGTTTCCCTAGCTACTAAATAGAGGTACACATAATGGAGTTAGGAAGAGGGGGCAAAGTTGGTGGGAGAGGGGCTAACAGGGAGTACTTACTTTGCACAGTGAGAAAAGAGTTCTTTGCAGGGTCTCAGTTCAAGTTTCTCCTCCGTTTGGTGGATTAGGTCTTGGCTGACTTCAGTGACATATGCTGGGGACTGTGATAAAGAGAAAATGGAGGAGACAAGTTGGTGGAGGGAGGCAGCAGGATGAGTAGGCTTCCTGGAGACAAGAATTTCCCACGGAGATCCGAAGGTGATGTCATCAGTAAATCTTGGGTCCAGATCTGGACAAGAAGGCTATGACTCTCAGCATTCCTACCCTACTGTGCCTACCTTTCACTCTCTCCTTCCCTTCTTTCCATATTCTACACTGGATCTACTTCTAGCCCTCAGCTGCCCTGAAAAATCTTTGGAGGGCATAATGGAAAGACCACTGAGCTGGAAGTCACCTCTGCTTTTCAGAAACCTTTTCTTTATTTAAGGCTCAGTACAGGTCCTGCCTTCTCTATGAAGTCTTCCCTAATTCTGCCTGTCGATAATTTACCTCGATGATTTTGCCTGATTTCTCCTTTTGTCTGTCCTTCCCTCCCTTGTATTAGTCATATCTGTGTATTTATATCTCCTCAGAAGAACATAAATTCCTTTAAGGCAGGTACTACTTTCTATCTTTGGCTTCTGCCTTGCATATAGTAGGAGCTTAATAAATATTGAAATGAATTATACAGGGAAGCAATATTATAAAGGGGAGCTCTGGCTCTTGAGACAGAGGACCTTAGTTCAAATTCTGACTTGGCCACTTATTGTCTATGTTACCTTAGTAGATCAGTTAACCTCCTTGGGCTCAGTTTCCTAAATGGGAAAAATGAAGGGGTTGGACTAGATCAGGGTTTCTTAAACTTTTTCCATTCATGACCCCTTTTTATGGCAGCAGCAATGCATGGCCTGAGGGTTTGTGCAATGCAAAATGCACATGCTTTGTGTTCAGAACCAAAGCTGCAGTGAAGTTGCTGATGCTATTAGGCAACACAGGCAAGCCCTGCCAGAAAAACACCTCGGATTCATTATGTGTTTGATTTTTAATTAATTTTTGGTTGTTGCGGATTCAGAAACATTTTACTGTTGCCAAATTTTTTGCAGCCCCATAATGAGGTCTTGACCCAGAGTTTAAGAAGTGCTAGACTAGGTGACCTCTCAGGTCCCTTCCAATCCTAGATCTGTGATCATATGAATAATCTAACTATAGCCTCAGTTTCTTCAACTGTAAAGCTGAGACAATAATCTCTGTCCAAGCTTGCCTGCAGGACTGTTGAGAGGCCCAAAGGAGATAATGTAACAGCATTCTGAAAGGGCACTTTTTGGTATAAATATAAGTAATTATTTTTTATCATTATTTTGGATTGAGTCATCTGATATGGGTTTCAAAAAGAAAATTCCAGGTGCCTCACGAAAGAGGAACTGAATATCATTTCAGCTTTCAGATGCCACAGGTAACGTTCAGGGTATACTGGAAAGCACCTTATGCTGGTGCTGGGAAGGTGCTGGGAACTGGGAAGTTCTGACTCTGCTGATTATTAACTGTGTGACCCTGAGTAAGTCTCCTACTTTGCCCTCTAAGTAATCCATCCTGCTGCCAATGGCCGACGGAGCCAGGATGGGGGAGAAGAAGCAGGAGTCTCAGTTATTCACTCCCCTCCAGATGTTCAGGGAAGCTGACTCATGGACTAGGACATAATCAGCCTTTTTTTTTAATAAATTAGAGTGATAATCGGGGTGGGTGGGTGAGGTAGAGACAAATCTCCATCCCCAAAGAATGCTGATTTCATCTGAACAGTTTCCTTTCAGACCCATGCTATTGAAATGTGAATATTGCACTGATTATAATGTTGAAGCCCACTTGGGGGTTTCATTGGGGAATTTTAATTTTTGTGTTTGCAGGAATAGTCAATGGTGTAAACTCAGCATTTTCTCTGTAAATGAAATAAGGGCTCATCTTCCATTTCCCATAGTCCTGAATGAATAGCCAGCTTCCTTCCTTTCCTAATGCCCTTCCTCACTGGAGCCTTTCCATGGTGATGAGCTTCAGCAGCAGCAGGCAGAGTCATACCCTGCTTCTCTCCCCAACCTATGAAGATTAGGAGACTAAAATCTAGAGGGTGAAGTTACCTGCCCGACGTCACACAATGAACGAGTTTGTGGCCGAGACTGGAATAGAACCCAAATTTCTTCCCACTTCTCCACATTCTATAGTGAGAAGTTCTGTGGGCAGCAGAGAAAGGCTATCAGAGAGAGGCCTAATAAGTCATCTGGAGTCATCCCAGAGGTTAAGGGCTGGGGAAGAGTTTAGTAGATGGTCTTGAGGGAAATCTAAGAAAGGAGGAAAGGATGTAGGTGAAATGATCCCAATTCCATTCCTCATCTAATTTCTTTTCTCATTTTATAGTCTCTTGTATCTGGGAAAGGAATTGCTGTTCAGCCCAGCTTTTGGACTGGCTGAAAATGAAGCTCCTATATAGCTGGGTCACTGGGATGTTACCACCAACCCTTGCTTGACACTCCCCAGAGAGCTCGATACCCCCCAACCTGGCTCCTACCTATCTTTCCAGCATTCCTTCCCCAAGGTCACCTTCCTGCAATCCACTGTCTAGATGAGGGGTTCTCATCCCCAGCTCTGTGAACTTATTTGTATTTAAATAGTTTTATAATAGCATTTCAGAACAATTGGTTTCCTTTGTAATCCCATGTAATTTATTCTACGCATTTAAAGGCTTTATTATTAGAAGAATAAATCCATAGATTTCACTAGACTGCCCAAAGGGTCCTTTTTAGGCTGAGAACTCCCTTCTCCAGACAAATTGGGCTGCTTGGTGTCCTCCTACTTCATCTTGTTGTCTCCCACCTCCAAACATTTGCCCATGGCATTCACCATGCCTAGATTAGACTCTTCCCCTCAAATCTCTGCCTTTGACATCTTTCACCTCCTTCAAGACCCAACCCAACCTCTTCCAAAGTGGCTTTCTTGACCTGCCCAACTCAAAAGTGATCCCTGCTCCTTTGACCGTTTCTCAGTAACATTTGACACTACTGACCACCCACTCTTCTTGGATACTCTCTCCTCTCTGAGTTTTCATGACTAATGATCTCTCTTGGTTCTCTGACTACTCCTCAGTCTCCTTTGCTTGATGGTCATCCATGACCTCATCTACTTCCAGCTCATTCTTGGCTCACTCTCTGGTCTCTTCCACCTACACATTGACGGCTCGGTCTGCTGGGGGATGACTCCACCCTAAGGCCTACTCAAGGGTGAGTCCTTACCTGGAACTTCCAGCTCATGAGAAGGCCCAGCCATACTGCTTTCAGTTTCACTGGAACCTACTCTACCTCCACCTTGTTGCCTGGCCCCCTCATGAGTACCCCTCTTCCTTCCTCTTTCCCCTACCTTCCAATACCCTTTATATTCTACCCCTATTAGAATGTAAAGTTCTTGGGAGTAGAGATCATTTTGTGTTTTTATTTTTGTATCCTCAGAACTTAGCATCATGTCTGGAACATAGTAAGTGCTTAATAAATGCTCTGTTATCTATCTATCTATGACATGTCACCTAACTCTGGGTATACCCTAGGGCTCTGTCCTGAACTCTCATCAGGTCCCATGCATTTTTATCAATGTCTATAGATGACCTCCATAGAAATAGAGTATATCTCATAAATCTTAGTGTAATATTAACCCATTCAAGCTTTAGTATAATATTTAACAGATAATAGGCATATAACACAATAATAAAAGCTTTAATAGCTTAATTATGCCCTAAGACTTTTGGAGCACCTTGATTATCTGGCCCTAGCCTGTCTTCTGAGCTCTAGTATCACACCATCGACTGCCTGTAGGCCATTTCCAAGTGGAAGTCCCATGGATATCTCAAACTCCATTTATCCAAAACAGAACTCATTATCTTTTCCCTGAAACCCTCCTTTTTTCCTACCTTCTCTATTTTGGTCAAGGGCATCATCATTCTTGTCACTTGGGTTTACAATCTCAGAGTCCTTCCTCAGTGTTTCACTCTTTATGTCCCAATCAGGTGCCAAGGTTTGCCTATTCCACCTCTCCTACATCTCTGATAGGTGGCCCCTCTCCCTACTCACATGACCACGGCTTCAATTCCGGCCCGAAGAACCTCTTGTCCAGGCTACTGCAGTAACCCGGCCTTCCTATGGCATCCCTCCCCTTTCCAGACCAGGCTCTCCACAAGTGACAGTCATTTTCTAAAAGCACAGGTCTGACCCCTCCCTGAGACCCCTCCCCTAACAACAAAGGATGGTTTAATTTTCACAGGAGAGCATCCGGGCTGCTGTGCAGTGAATCTTTTGTCTCTCCTTCTGCCTCTTTACCAGCTTCTCTTGAGTTCCCTGCTTCCTCTCCTCTCCATTTCTTAAATGGTAGATTAGGGTGAAGGCTCAACTGGCTTTGAGTTTATCTTTCTCCAATTGCCCTTGCTTGATCTCTGATGAAGGCACAGGGAGCACTGAAGAACACTCAGAAAAGAGAAGAAAGAGAGGTCTAGAACTTGGATAACCTTGGAATCGGGTCATCATGACCAGTTTTCGTTGTTTTCCAGGGGGTTATATTTATACCCTATAGTCTCACCTAATCAGCTGAGCCCAGGCTCAGGAAGATCTAAAATAAAATCCAGTCTCAAACACCTATTAGCTATGTGACCCTGGACAAGTCACCTAATCCGTCCATGCCTCAGTTTCCTCATTGGTAAAATGGGGATAATAACAGCACCAATTTCACAGAGTTGTGAGGATCAAATGAGATAATAATTGTAATACACTTAGTATGGTGTCTAGTACATAGTAAGCTCTATATAAATGTCAGCTATTACTATTACCACCTATCATTGTTGTGAGGATAAGATGAGAAAATATTTATGAAATGCTTTGCAAAACTTAAAGCACTACATAAATACCAGCTATTATAGCTAGTTATTATTCCTGAAAAACTCACCTCTAATCAGTGGTAAAGAATGCTACCTACTTTCTGACAGAGAGGAAATGGACTCAAGATGCAAAATGAGGTACACCTTTTTTGGAGTGGCCAATATAGGAATTTGTTTTGCCTGACTATATTTGACAAGGGTGTTCTTTCTTTCTTCCCT